CGCCTGTCAAAAGTTGCTTACCTTAATACGCATCCGAAAATACTTGCATTAATTTCGAGATATCACGATACATCTACATTCGTACATCACCACCGACATTCCTTAAAAAAAAAAAAAAATGTAACGCTTGCTTTGAATCGCGCGATAGCTGTGCCCACAGTTATATATCCTACATATGGACATCGATGAACGTATCCAACGGATGATCAGAAATAATTTTCGAACGTTCGAATATATATTTTTCCCATGAAATGTGAAACCGAATGTGAAACAACGTGGAACACGTTGGATCGAAAAATGAGCGAGTCGCAGGATTTTGTTACACGAATAATTGGAACCGCGCGGATACAGAGCAACGCGTACTTCTTCTTTTTCCTCCATTTTCTCTTCCTTCTCCTATCTTCATTTCACTCTTTTTTATTGCACATATTTTTTTCCTGCCGTAATAAAACGGACTGTGTATACTCGTTATTACGTTAATCGCCGTTTTTTTTATCGACACACCGCGTTTTTATATATTTTTCAAATATCGCGATATCTCCCCTTTATGAAGAGAGAGAGAGAGAGAGAGAGAGCGAGAGTGAAGGGAGTGGGATAGAGAATGTCGATTTCTCTTCATGTACGAATAGAATTGAACCATTAATAAATATTATTTTTATAATAATAATTTTAACACAAAGGTATTATTTCCTTCGTAAAAATTTACTTTGGCTTGTAATCATAATAATGAACTAACCTCGAGCACGCGATCAAATTTATAATTTACACGTGAATTCCTCGTTTTTCCACGCAAAACTGAAACGCTTGCAAATTTAATTTTCTGCGATGCCGATATTTAACGAAAATAGAAAGCTCGATCTATTTCACTTATCGCGTTCCTTGCTATAATATATATATATATATATATATATTTTTGAAATGTACACGCATGTATATATTGGAAACGGATGATCGCATATCGAATCGTTCATATCGACACAAAATCGTCCGTCAAAATTTACGTTTCATTCGCAAATTCACCAGATCCTTTTCCGTTTGCTATCGCAAAAAAAAAAAAAAAAAAAAAAAAAAAACCGGTGTGTTTACCAGCCGTGCACTGAAAGCGTGTTCTTTGTTGCAGAATATGCCCAAAAGTGGGAACAGCTATTGGTGCAGCAGCGCGATATCTTTAACGCCGCAATTGATCAAGTCAGTCAGTTTCGCGGACAATTGTTGCAAGAAGAACAGATCAGCCGGAAGATGACGAACTCGTAACTCACGATACGATTAACGTAGATTTGTTTACACGTACGCATGAGAGAGAAAGGGAGAGAGTGGAAGAGGAAGAAAGAAAGAAAGAGAGAAAGAGGGTGAACGAGAATAAACGAGTATGAGCGAGGGAAAAAATATGAGAAAAAGGTAGGAGAAAGAACACGAGTTTTACGGTTTCACGACGATTATTAGGATCAAGGACGACAATGGACGACGACTGGTGGATGGTGGGAACAACTTTCATAGGTTTGCGGCGTACTATCTTTAATTCCAAATATGCGATCACAAAGTAACCAGAACCGTTCCTTTTTTTTTCTTTCTTTCTTTCGTTCTTTCTTTCTCTCCTCCCTTTTCCACTCGATTCGTTCTCGATCGATCCTTGACTCTAAAAACTCGAAGATGAACAGAGACGACAGACGATCATCGTCCGCCCATATATATTTACCTTGCGAACCGTTTTCTACGTTTCTCCCCTCTTTTCGCCTATTTTTCTTCCTCTCCCTTTCTCCTTTTTATCCTTATCGCTAGCTTTACTATCTTACTATCTTATTTTTCCGTGGTGACACGCGCCACGCACCAAAATCATACTGTATCACTATCTTCACCTTACGTTTAATCGATCGTGTCCCGCGTGCTTCATTTCACTCGTAATCGCCTCGCAATTATCTCGTTCGAATGTCGCGAAAAACGATACGTCTCCCCCCTTCCTTCAATATACGCGGATATCAATGGATATTAATTAGATCGATGGAGATGTATACGTACGTATACGAACGAATAAATGGCAAAGTCGAATGAATTCTATTTATCTTTATTCTATCTTCTCGATCATTTCTATGTCTGTATCTAGAGAAAGAGAAAAGAAACAAAACACGCGGTACAAAATATCCTTTAAGGATCTTGCAGTTGTTTTCAAACGAACGTTTTCATCAACTGGCCGATCTAAATTGCCAAATCTATCTGTCTTAATTATCTTAATTTCAAATGAATATGTGAATGTACGCGTGCGAATATTACATACTTTTTGTCGAAAAAGAAAATGAATAAAAAGAAGAGAAATACCACATACATACGCGTAAATTTTATCCAATCTTAATAAATTTAATACGTTCAATTTGTACGCCCAAATTACATAATGATTTATCAAATACGTACTTTGAACGTTAGATTTTTGATAAATTATTTTTTAATAAATCATCCCCTTCGTAATTCGACGGTAAAAATTCGCGAGTAAACTCAAATGTTCGCGTCAACTTGAACCATGCATCGTGATAAATATGTTTCATAAATATAACAAAATAATTTTTTTAACATTCGTCTAAACATATTTCGCGTAACATATCTCTTAAGAAAAATTGATGGATCGATTTCTCTCT